CCATAATATAAATACTCTATAATATAGTATTTTAAGGACTTTCAGTTGTACTTATTTTTTTAAAACGATTTAATGAAATAATTAAATAATTAAACAAAAATTTCGGTGCAATTACTATTAGTATTATATTAGTATTAAGTATTATTTCTATGTCTAATGTATAATACAGTCATTTAATGCCATCTATATTTATACCTATATTATAAATTACAAGACTTTTAAGCCCGTAATTACGGCCCGTTTTATTTAAATTAAATCATAATTTTTATTATAAATATTATTTTTTTATTCAATGATAGTATTGAGACAATAGTGACAAATAATTTGAAATATTAGTTTTGAAATGTTATGAAAACTATGAAAGTGTGAGAAAATCTTAAACAGCGTCGGCGGCGATGCTATTAATTACAATTATCTGGTCAACAATACGTTGAATTAATAAGTGACCAAGGACAATGTTGTAGATAAATTTAAACTAAATAAAATTGTAATTGGTTATTTTTTAATTAATTGTATGATTTTCCAGATAAATGCAGTCGACTCATTTATAAATTTTTTAAACATTTTTTAAATTATTTAGCATATAATACAATTAATTAAAAAATGACCAATTACAATTTTATTTATTTTAAATTTATCTACAACATTGCCCTTGGTCACTTATTAATTCAATGTAATTCAATTCCATATAATTGTAATTAATATCATCTCCGCCGCCGCTGTTTAAGACTCTGTGAAAGTGTACCTAAAATATAACAAATACACACACAGTGCTAGTGCTATACACACAAAACTACTCCTATGTGGGTGTCGTTAATGAGTGTCGTATACTGTCTTTTATATATATTAATACACACTTAAAGACACTCCTATGCGGGGTTCGGTAATGGGGGTCGCTTACTGTCCTTTATATATATTAATTAATAATTTATAATTATATTAATAAATGCAAATAATTAAAAAATAATTAATTCTTAATAAATTGATAAAAATTATATTATTTTCAAAATTACTTATAAATGTTAATTGAAAAAAATAAATAAAAATCTCTTAGTTATGAAATCAATTTATTAATTAACTAAAAATCACTATTAATTAATTATAATATATTTTATATAACATTAACTTTATATTTATTTAGTAATACTAGTAGTATATATAATAATAATAAATAAATTAGATTAATTTTAAATTGTTACGGGTAAATTATTTTATTAATTTATGATTAATAGCTAATATTAATCTCACAATTAGTTTTGATTGAAATACTTTCATTTTCAAATGTTTTCAATTTAAATGCAATTGATTAATGAATAAATGAATTTAAATTTTTACTATAAATTTCATTACTATATTAGTAGTAGTTTTTATTGTAATATTTTTCACTTTTATATATATTATAGCCATTGTATTGAATATAAAAGTGTTTAACTTTAGTACCGATCAGTAAATGCTGGGAAATAAATGATTCACTTGTAGTTAGTTTGTTTGGACTGCAATGGTTTAAATTGACATCCATTAGGTGTGCCAACTGTCCAATAGATTGGATCGATTCATCAGTAATGGACACACCGTTACAATGTATATACTGTAGTCGAGGAAGATTGAGATGAATATTATGAAAAAACGGGTCACCAATTAATTCCCAATTTCGAAATACAAGTTTAAAATGTATTAATCGCGTCAATCGATTAAACAAATCGCTGGTCAAAACCAAATCGGTTTCTTCATTATAATTGTTTAAAAATTTTAGCGATAATCGTCTCAATTGTTTCGACATATGTTTGTTGATTGCGGTAAACATGCGATAAATTGTTATTAAAGTTGATATATATGGCTCATAGTATAATGATTTAAGTTGTCGACAGTTGCGGCCAATTGTCGAAAATAAATCGGCCATAAAATTGGTGTCAAATTCAATCGGCAAATAAAACTTGAGTTGTTTTAATCGCGGCATTTGTTCAAAACCAGCTGATAATGGTTTCAGATCCCATTTGTCCCAATTGGGATTATCATAGTCATAGTCGTCATCATCAACCATCAATTGTTCAAACTCTAGCGTCAATGATATCAATTGTTTGCCGAAAATTTCGGCAAAATTAGCGAATAAAGGCATCGACAACTCATCCAGTTTTATGTTCAATGATTGCAATGATTTCGATAACGAATTACACATATTATTATTAATGAATATATCATTTAATTGGACAGTAGTTTCATGATATATAAAGCTATCATAAGTTGTGATATCCAATGTCTTCAGGTTAGTCATACTGTCGACCACTTTGTTAAACAATTGTTTATTGTATTCACGATCAAAGCCGTTAAACTTGAATGTCAACAATTGTCGGTCAAAATGTCTGAAAAATCGTTCAAACGTACTGTCGGGGACCGACCAGAGGCCGTAATCTAATTTAATGGTAAAGTGTCGCAATCGGTGACAGTTTTTGATCAATAAATCAATAAAACGGTTGATTCTATTAACAGCAACGGGAATTGATGTACTACTGTATAATCTATATATAGTATATAAATATATATATATAACAAATATTTAATTATTAAAAATGATTTTTTGATTAATAAAATAATAGATGAAAACCCTTACAAATCACTTATGATAACTGCGGTAATGTTCGGACATTTCGATACAATCACTTCAAACCATTTAATTTTCCGATAATTATCACGATTTCTAATCAATGCTATTCTTTGAAATAGTTTTGCATCAAATATAAGATCCGTTTGTGTATTGAATATCAATGCCAACCACTGTTTGGACACCGATCGCAGTCTTAATCTGTCAACGATATGCAGATATTGAAGCAATAGTTGACATAAATCATCGCCGAAACGATCAAACGAGTCCTTCTTCGCTGTCATCAATGCTGTTGTTGTGGTCATTGTCTTCAGTTATTTTAATTTCATTACTAAATTAAAATTGACTTACATTTTGTCTGATAATTGTATACAAAATATATGGCAATCAATACAAACCAAAAAAACACAGTATTTTTTTATTAACAAGCAATTAATTAATTTGATAATTAAATATCGAAACAATTATTAAAAACAAAATGATTGTTAACTACAATCATATGAAATACAAAACGTTAAATCCAATATTAATATACACTAAACCAGTAATTAATTGTTTAATTTAATAATTAACTAAAACCAATTTCAATACTAAACAATACATTCAAGTGCTATACTATTGAATCAATAGTATTAACTGCAATGTATTAATAGCAGGGTTGCGAAAGGTTTTCGATCTCAGGGGGGGGGGTATAGGGGGTGATCAATTTTTATTGTATTTTTAAACGACAATTTTTTCCAAATTTGAGTAAATTCCCAATAAATTCTCAATAAATTCCTAATAAATTCCCACTAAATTCCCACTAAATTACCACACAATCACTAAAATATTTTTCACTTTTATATATATGATATCCATTGTATTGAATATAAAAGTGTTTAACTTTAGTACCGATCAGTAAATGCTGGGAAATAAATGATTCACTTGTAGTCAGTTTGTTTGGACTGCAATTGTTTAGATAGACATCCATCAGGTGTCCCAACTGTCCAATAGCTTGAATCGATTCATCAGTAATGGACACAACGTTACAATGTATAGACTGTAGTCGAGGAATATTGAGATGAATATCATTAAAAAACGGGTCACCAATTAATTCCCATTTATATAACTGAAGTTTCAAATGTATTAATCCCGTCAATCGATTAAACAAATCGCTGGTTAAAACCAAATCGGTTTCTTCTTCTTCTTCATAATAATCGTTAAAAAAATTTAGCGATAATAGTCTCAATTGTTTGGACATATGTTTGTTGATTGCGGTAAACATGCGATAAATTGTTACTGTAGTTGATATATATGACTCATAGTATAATGCTTTAAGTTGACGACAGTTGCGGCCAATTGTCAAAAATAAATTACCCATAAAATTGATGTCAAAATCAATTGGCAAATAAAACTTTAGTTGTTTTAATCGCGGCATTTGTTTAAAACCAGCAGATAATGGTTTCAGATCCCATTTGTTCCAATTGGGCCATTCATATTCATCGTAGTCATCATCAACAATCAATTCTTCCAATACTAATGTCAATGATGTCAATTGTTTGCCGAAAATTTCGGCAAAATTAGCGAACAAATGCATCGACAACTCATCCAGTTTTATGTTCAATGATTGCAACGATTTCGGTAACGAATTACACATATTATTATTATCAATGAATATATCATTTAATTGGACAATACTTTCTTGACGTTGAAAGTTATCATAAGTGGTTAAACCCAATGTCTTCAGGTTAGGCATACTGTCGACCACTTTCTTAAACAATTGTTTATTGTGTCTACGATTAATGAAGTTAAACTTGAATGTCAACAATTGTCGGCCAAATTGTCTGAAAAATCGTTCAAACATACTGTCGATGTCGAAGACTTGGTATTCTAATTTAATGGTGAAGTGTCGCAATCGGTGACAGTTTTTGATCAATAAATCGATAAAACGGTTCATCCTATTGACAGCAACGGGTGATGAAATATTGTATGAACTATATATACAACAAATATTTAATTATTAAAAATGATTTTTATTAATAAAAAATTAGTTCAAAACCCTTACATATCACTTATGATAACTGCGGTAATGTTCGGACATTTCGAGACAATCACTTCAAACCACTTAATTGACCCATAATTATAAGGCTCTGAAAACCAATATTTTTTTTTGAAATACTTTCCAATCAAATACGAGATCCGTTTGTGTATTGAATATCAATGTCAGCCACTGTTTGGACACCGATTGTAGTATCAGTTTGTCATCGATTGGCAGATATTGAAGCAATAGTTGACACAAATCATCGCCGAAGCGATCAAACGAGTCCTTCTTTACTGTCATTATTGTCTTCAATGATCTTAACTTAAGTTTTATTTTATTTATATTTTATTTTGTTTGAACAAAACTCGTCAATCAATTCAATCAAATCTATTGATAAAACAAAACATAAATCAAATTCATTAGTAAATTGTTTTAAACAATCAAACACTGCATTCAAATGACAATAACATTCAATAATACTTACATTTGATTTACTAATCAATTGTTATATAATAATAATAATAATAATAATAGTTGTATTCAAAAACAAACAATATATTCAATCAATATATGATATTAGATAAGTATTTAATTAATTAATTAATTGTTCACAAAAAAACAATTTATAATAAAATAATTTTTATAACACATGTATACCACAAACATATGATATTAAACACACATTAGATATGAATACTTTTTTTTGTGAGTTTTATTTTGTGTATTAATCAAATGGGTATATAATATATTACAGTATATTATTAATATTTAAGATAAATAATAATAATTAAATGACTAAATAATTTAACAAAAATCTAGTTTGCGTCCGATTTTAGTTATTAATACATGTCTAATGTACCATATATTACATGTATAACATTTGATGCCATCTATATTTATATTATAATTAAATATGCAAATAATTAAAATATAAATTTCTAAAATTCATAAAAAATATTAATCATTTACTAAATTACTTATTATAATAATTATCAAAAACAAAACAAAAATCTTTTAATTATTATATAAATTAATTAATTATAAAATTACTAATCAATAAATCAAAAATTAAATAATTAATACATTATATTTAGTTACTAATATACAGTATTTAATTAATAAATTAGAGTAACTTAATATTTAAATTTTTAAATTTTTCTCATAAATTTTATATTAAATAATCATTAATTTATTATATTTTTTTCTGATAAATAGCTATATTAATAATATTCCTATTAGTATTATAATAATTAAATAATTAATTAAAAATTACTATTGATTAATTAATAATTATATATAAGCAAATTTATATTAATTAAGTAATAATTATAATTAAAAAAAATAGAGAAATTTAGTTAATAATATAAAAAAATGTTTTATATACAATATTATTTTATTACCGTAATTAAATGCAATTAATTAATTTAATTAATTTATAATTAATTGCAATTACAATTAGTTATAATTGAAATATTTTTATTTTCAAATGTTTAAATTTAAATGCAATTTATTAAATAAATGATCTTAAATTAAATTCATTATGAATGTCAATATTATAATAAATTATATTATTATTATTAGTATTTATTAAAATAGTTTTCACTTTTATATACTTTACGTAATTTAAATAAATTATTGCATTCAATATAATAGTGTTTAACTTTAGTACCGATCAGTAAATGTTTGGAAATAAATGATTCACTCGTCTGTTTGTTTTGATTGCATCGAAGATAGACATCCATTAGGTGTGCCAACTGTCCAATAGATTGGATCGATTCATCAGTAATGGACACACCGTTACAATGTATAGACTGTAGTCGAGGAAGATTAAGATGAATGTCATGAAAAAACGGATCACCAATTAATAACCAATTATATAATTCAAGTTCCAAATGTATTAATCCCTTCAATTGATTAAACAAATCGCTAGTCATAACCAAATTGATTTCTTCTTCTTCTTCATTATAAGGGTTTAAAAATTTTAGTGATAATCGTCTCAATTGTTTGGACATATGTTTGTTGATTGCGGTAAACATGCGATAAATTGTTACTGTAGTTGATTTATATGACTCATAGTATAATGATTTAAGTTGTCGACAGTTGCGGCCAATTGTCGAAAATAAATCGACCATAAAATTGGTGTCAAATTCAATAATCAAATAAAACTTGAATTGTTTTAATCGCGGCATTTGTTGAAAACCAGCCAATAATGGTTTCAGATCACATTTCTCCCAATTGGGATAATCATAGTTATAGTAGTATTCATAAAACATTATCGTCAATGATGTCAATTGTTTGCCGAAAATTTTGGCAAATTTAGCGAACAAAGGCATCGACGACTCATTCAGTGATATATTCAATGATTGCAACGATTTTGGTAACGAATAATACATATTATTATTACCAATAAATATGTCATTCAATTGGAGAGTAATTTCATATTCATCAAAGTTATTATTATTTTTGATCTCCAATGTCTTCAGGTTAGGCATACTGTCCACCACTTTGTTAATCAATTGTTTATTGTATTCACGGTTATAGCCTTCAAACTTGAATGTCAACAATTGTCGGCCAAATTGTCTGAAAAATCTTTCAAACATACTGTCGATGACCGACCAGAGGCAGTCGTAATCAAATTTAATTGTGAAGTGTCGCAATCGGTGACAGTTTTTTATCAATAAATCGATAAAACGGTTGATCCTATTGACAGCAACCGGAAGTGATGAACGATAGGATGTACTATATATATATATATATACAACAAATATTTAAGTATTAACTGATTTTTTAATTAATAAAATAATAGATCAAAACCCTTACCAATCACTTATGATAACTGCGGTAATGTTCGGACATTTCGAGACAATCACTTCAAACCATTTAATTATCCGATAATAATGACGTTTTGTAATCAAAGATAATGTTTTCAATAGTTTCAAATCAAATACGAGATGTGTTTGTGTATTGAATATCAATGCCAACCACTGTTTGGACACCGATTCCAGTCTTAGTCTGTCATCGATTGGCAGATATTGAAGCAATAGTTGACACAAATCATCACCGAAGCGATCAAACGAGTCCTTCATTGTTGTTGTGGTCATTGTCTTAAGTGATCTTAACTTTAGTTTTATTTTATATTTATGTTTTGTCTGAACAAAACTCGTCAATCAATTCAATCAAATCTATTGATAAAACAAAACATAAATCAAATTCATTAGTAAATTGTGTGAAACAATCAAACACTGCATTCAAATGACAATAACATTCAATAATACTTACGGCGAGACTTCCGTATAAGTCTTGGCCGCGAAGTCTCGCCCAACAATCATATGAAATACAAAACTAAAAGTTAATCCAATAATAATTTATTTTTTATTAACAATATATTCATTAATTAATTACTAATATTATAAATAAATTTGACTTACATTTTGGCTATAATTGTATACAAAATATATGGCAATCAATACAAATCAAACCAAACAAAAAACACAGTATTTTTAACAAACAATTAATTTTTTTGATAATTAAATATTCAAATAATTAATAAAAACAAAATGATTGTTAACTACAAAATACTATCAAATATAACTAAAAGTTAATCCAATATTAATATACACTAAACCAGTAATTAATTGTTTAATTTAATAATTAACTAAAACCTCATGTTTTCAATAGTAAACAATACATTCAAGTACTGTACTATACTGTAGTATAGCAGCTATACTATTGAATCAATAGTATTAACTATTAATACAATGTATTAATAGACTATTAAAATATATTTATAATACATTAGAGTAGTTAACGGATATTCTATTGGTTCCGGGTTTTAGCAATTATTTTCCAGTTTTAAAAAAATTGTTTCTTTTTGTTTAATTAGTATAATAATTAATTTTTCAAATTTAGATATAAATCAATTGTCATTTATTACTGATTTAATTCAATTGGTTAAGAAAAACACATATAAATTATTTTTTCTTTTACTTTTTATTAAACTACAGTTCGGTTCAATTGCTATTAAATAAAAATGCTATGAATTACACGTTTCTATCAAACATTTAAACACATATTATATTTAATGTACAATATATAAATGCCATCTAATTATTTATTTTCAAAAAAAAAACTTGAAAAGTTTTGTTTACTGAAATCTATAATGGCTTTTTGAGTCTGTCTGTCTGTAGCATTTCATTTTGCGAATTTTGAAATTCTGACTTTAGATTCGGTTAGAGGACTACTAATAATGTATTGAAAAGTTGCATTAAAATTTTGATATCTCTTCAGGAACATAAAGAAAATGGCGGCCAAATTAAAAAAAATTAAGAAATTTTTTTTAAAGTATAGGTTTAAATAAAGCATCAAAAATAAGCATAAGAAATATGCATTAAAATTTTGATTTCTCTTCGGGAACGTAGAGAAAATGGCGGCCAAAGTAAAAAATTTAGGTGAAAATTTTAACGTTTAGAATTATATAGCGCATCAAAAATAATATATAATAAATTATTATTTTTTTTAAAAAATGGTGGCAAAAGTATAAAAAAAATTTAGGTAATTTTTAACGTTTAGAATTGTATAGAGCTTCTAAAATAATTTATAATAGATCAAAATTAATTTATTATTTTAAAAATATTATTTGTTTATTTTGTCATTAATGCATTTGATACCCCATATGACTAGAGTTAAGTATATTTTGCCATACTGAGTCATTTGATACCATACATGACTATAAATAAGTATATTTTGTTAGACTGAGTCATTTGATACCCCACATGACAATAGTTGACTTTATTTTGTTATAGCGAGCCATTTTAACTTCAATGGTATTCAAGTTTTTTTTCTGAATATGCTTTCTAGCATTCTTAACTGGTTTTAAATAAAAATTAATATTTAAATATAATAATAATAAATATAAAATCTTATTAAGAATTAAAAAAAACAATATATAAGTTTTATATTTTAATTGATAAATCATTAAACATTTTAGTGTTTACGACCAATTTATTTATTAATATTAATATTATTAATTTACATTAATTTTTTTTTATTTATTCAATAATTTTTTATTCCCAAAAATCTGTTTTTAATATTAATTTTAATTTATAATAAAAGTATATCATAATATATGTTATTAATATTATAAATTTTATATACATTTAAATTATTTTTTAAATTATTTAATCATTTTTAACTCTAATTATAAGTCTATTAGTAATCTCAATCATAATACCAATCACTAATATATTTTCCAAATTTAAATTCATGATAACCTAATGTTAAATCATTGTATTCAATATACAAGTGTTTAACTTTAGTACCATTAAGTAAATGATTGGTTAGAAATGATTCAGTTGTCGTCAAAAGATTGTTGTAATGATTTACCGAGAGATAGACAACCGTCAGGTGTGCCAACTGTCCAATAGCTAGGATCGACTCCTCAGTAATGGACAGACAATCACAGTCTATATACTGTAGTCGCGGATGATTGAGATGAATGTCACGGAAAAACTTATCATCGATTAGATTATCATTAAATAAATGAATTGTCAAATGTGTTAATCCGTTCAATCGGTTTAATAAACTGTTTGTCTTTAAAATAAATCTATATCTTCTTCGTCATAATAAAACACTCAAATTACTGATAATCGTCTCAATTATTTTGACATATGTTTGTTGATTGCGTTAAACATACGGCCAACAGTAGATTACATGTATAATACAATATTTAATGCCATCAATATATATACAGTATTTATACTTGTATTATAATTAAAAAATAAATTTCTTTTAAATTGATAACAATTATATTATTTTCAAAATTATTTATTATATTAGTTGAAATAAATAAAAATTTCTTAGTTAATGACATCAATTTATTAATTAACTAAAAATTACTATTATTTAATTATAATATATTGTATATAACAGTAACTTTATATTTATTTAGTAATTAGATATCTGAAAGCCATTGTATTGAATATAAAAGTGTTTAACTTTAGTACCGATCAGTAAATGCTGGGAAATAAATGATTCACTTGTCGTCAGTTTGTTTAGACTGTAATGGTATAGATATACATCCATCAGGTGTGCCAACTGTCCAATAGCTTGGATCGACTTCTCAGTAATGGATACACCGTAAAAATATATAGACTGTAGTCGAGGAAGATTGCGGTGTATATCATGAAAAAAACGGGTCACCAATTAATTCCGATATATTTAAATGAAGTTTCAAATGTGTAAATCCCGTCAATCGGTTAAACAAATCGCTGGTCAAAACTAAATCGGTTTTTTCTATTTCATTTCTAATATAATCGTTTAAAAATTTTACCGATAATCGTCTTAATTGTGGTGAAAAATGTTTGTTGATTGCGGTAAACAAACAATAAATTTTTACTTTAGTTGATATATAGGACTCAAAGTATAATGCCTTAAGTAGTCGACAGTTGGGGCCAATTATCGATAATAAATTACCGATAATATTGATCTCCAAATCATACGTCAAACAAAACTTGAGTTGTTTTAATCGCGGCATTTGTTCAAAATCAGCCGATAATTGTTTGAAATCGTAACCGACAATAAATTGTTCAAACATTATCTTCAATGATGTCAATTGTTTGCCGAAATTTTTGACAAAAATAGCGAACAAAGGCATCGACGACTCATTCAGTTTTATGTTAAATGATTGCAACGATTTTGGTAACGAATTATTATAAATGAATATATCGTTTAATTGGACACTAGTTTTCTCATATGTAAAGTCCATCACCAAAGTTGATATATCCAATGTCTTCAGGTTAGGCATACTGTCGATCACTTTGTTAAACAATTGTTTATTGTATTCACGATTATAGCTGTCAAACTTTAATGTCAACAATTGTCGGCCAAATTGTCTTAAAAATCGTTCAAAAGTACTGTCGATGACTGACGACCAATCGAGGCCGTCGTAATCAAATTTAATGGTGAAGTGTCGCAATCGGTGACAGTTATTGATCACTAAATCGATAAAACGACTCATCCTATTGACAGCAACGGGAAGTGTTGAACCATAGTATGAACTATATATATATATAAATAAAATTTAATTATTAAAAATTATTTTTATTAATAAAAAAATTAAATTAAAACCCTTACCCATCACTTATGGTAACTGCAGTAATGTTCGGACATTTCGAGACAATCACTTCAAACAACTTAATTGTCAGATAATTATTACGCTTTGAAAACGAATATATTTTTTGCAATAGTTTCCAATCAAATATGAGATCAGTTTCTGTATTGAATATCAATGACTGCCACTGTTTGGACACCGTTTGTAGTCTTAGTCTGTCATCGATTGGCAGATATTGAAGCAATAGTTGACACAAATCATCGCCGAAGCGATCAAACGAGTCCTCTTCACTGAGGAAAAAAATATAAAAATACAAGATAAATATTTAAAATAATTTAGACACTTGTCTCGATTTTTTTAGACAGTCTTAAAATTAAATGACAAATGACCCAGGAAAAAACGGTATTATTTGGTAGGACATTTGTCATTTAATTTTAAGACATTAATTCAATTCAAAGGGGCAGTATATGTATTTATATTTTAAGATATTTGTATTAAAAAATTGAGACAAACATTATATTTTTTATGTATATATGTATATATTGTTATAGACTCTTGCCATTTAATATATATAATAAATGTCTGATAAATAAAAGACAAATGTATTATTTTATTTTAATTTATAGCAATTTTATTTTGGACAAATATATATTTAAAAAAATACATTTATGCAAGTATATTATAACAAACAATAAATTTTTAAAAATTAGAAAAATACTATAGATAATTTAATAACATTATTGATGTAAAACTTGATCCTAATTTTTCATTATAAGTAACTGGTGACCAATGATTTAAAACTGACGTCAAAATAAACTAAAAATAAAATAAAAAAATATTAAATAAAATATTTCAATTATTTATAAATTTATAAAACCTACCTGTTTTATACTGTATATATATAACATATATATATAATTACCGTAATGTTATATAAAACAAAATAAAATATATTAATCGATACCACAATTAATAATCACTATTTAATTCATCACACAATGACAACAGATAAATAAAATTTATTGATTTTCGCAGTTTTGTCTCATCTTTTCATTAGCGATGTCTGTAATGTGTTTGATATAGTCTTCGGAGACAATCAAACGATTGTCGCAAATGATGGGCACTTCCAGTGACGGACAGTTACGGACGGCAACAATAAGGCGCTATTTCTTGCTGACTGTTAGACCAGAGTTATGAAAACCGCAAGCGATGGCCACTTCAAGCAGCTGTCGGGCGGCCATCAAACCGTCGGCACAGACGTGCAAAACAAACGGTTCGACTTTGAATGAACCAAATGGCGGACAATCGGCAGGGCTTTGGATGGCCGACAGTATGTCTTGCGATTGGACTAAATCGTGTGATATGAACAGCCATTTGGCACTAGATTTGACATTTTGTACGGTACTGTCGGCCAAA